CAGCTGGGGCGCCAGGACGCCAAGAGGGACGTCTGGCCCCTGCGCCGCGCCCCTTTGCTTCTCCTGGCCTCACCCACGCTCCTGTGCCATTTCTTGAGAGTTTTGGTGATCAGGGTCTAGCTCGTTCCGGACACTGTCCCGCCGCTATCCTAGAGACGCCGCTGTCCCTCCTGCCGTGGGCCGCCACCCCCTTTCCAAGCGCCTTATTTCCTTATTTTTGCTTCTGCTGTGGCCTCGCCAGGGCTCTTTGATCCTGCACCCGTTTCTGTTGCCAGTCTCTGATCCCTGACCCTACTTCTTAGCCCCCTCGCATTTCTCTATCGTGATCTCTGGGGCCGAGCTGGGACTCAGAACTCCGTGAGTTCCGGATGCCATGTCTCCCCACTTTCCCGCATTTTCCAATCAGAAGGACTCAGGCCACGCTGATCGCGCCGGGTGAGGAACCTCTGAAGTCATTAGCTGCGGATTAGGCGTGGCCTGGGGCGTGCGGGGGTCCCGTGGGAATCAGATTCTGAACGCGAAATCGCGCCAGGACACTAATCCGCCGGCTGGCTGCACCGCTTGTCAAAAGCAGCTGGGCTGGGCGGAGCGAGCTGGCTACAGGGGTTGAGGGCGCGGGGCGCCCCCTGGAGGTTGAGCTGCTCCCAAGCTCTCAGGGGAGATGCCTCGGGCGCCCCCTATCGGGTCGCGCAGGCTCTGCGCCCCACAGCTTTCAGCCAGGTAAGTCGGTGCCTGGAGTGTCCGTCCACGTCCCGCCTGATGCGCCTGCCACTCCCGCCGCCAAGGGACTGGGTCCCTCAGCCTTCCCTCTTCGAGGGTGTGAGGGGGACCCAGGGGCAGGTGCGGAGAGGGAATGGGCCATCTCCTGCCTCGCCTGCTCTGGAGGGGAGGGGGGCACCACGAGTTCAGGCTGGTCCTTTTTGCGCAACTGGTCCTCTCCAGACGCCCGAAGCTGGGTCCCCGCCCTAAAACTGCCCTCTGCTCTCTGACCCTGCCAACCCCAGTCTCTGGCTGCCCTTCTTTCTGCCTCTTTATTCGTCAGGCCCTGTCTGTCTTTCTGTGTCTGTGTATGTATGTCGGTGTCTCTCTTCCTTATCATTCTGGCCGTGTCTGTCTGTCTCTCCCTCTGCAGCTCTCTCTACCAGGCTTTGTCCCTCTGCATCTGTTTCTGTGTCTCTCTGTGTTTGTCTCTCCTTCCCTCTACATCTCTCTACCCTCTGCGTCTCTCTTTACAAATGCCTGTCTGTCTCTGTCTCTCTCTGCCCCTTCCCATCCCCCCAGTTCTATTACTATTCTCTGGCTTGCTGCCCCTGGGGGGCTGCAGCAGTCGAACGAGACAGCCTGGGGACACCTCAGGGCACTGCCCGGAGTCCACTTCCCGGTCACCTCCACATGCCCGTCACCTCTGCGCGGCCTCCGTCTATCCTCTGCAGCTGTGGGGCGTGGAGGGGGCGCCCGGGAGGGAAGACACAGTGCCAGCATCTGCTCGGGAGCCCCGGAGCCCCTGACCCCCTCTACCGCTATTAAGGGCGCCGGGTCCCGAGGCTCCGAGAGATGATCATGATTGCATCAGCCAGACAGCCGCGGAGCTGGGAGCTGCGCGGTGAGCGAACGAGCGAGACAAAGACGCCCGCGCCATCTGTTTATGCAAAGCGCTCTCCGCCGGGGACCCAGGCGTCCCGGTGCCTGGCCCGGCTCGGGGCACAGGGTCACGAGTCCGCTCCTGCCCGGCGCCCCCGCCGCGCCGCAGCTCCCCCCTCCCCAGCACCCAGAGGGGCCGCGGGGCGAGCGGAACGGAGGGGGGCGGGGGTGTTGATGTGATTGGAGCGGACGCGGCTGTTTCTTCAATAATGGATGGAGATGATGCGGACGGCGGAGCCAAGCCCGCCCGGAGAGGAGAGAGGAATAGAAATGGGGAGAGGAAGGGGCGGGTGCGGGAGACTCACCCAGGCGCGCGCGCGCGCGCGCACACACACACACACACACACACACACACACACACACACACAGGAGCGCGCGTGCGTCACACTGTCATTCGAATACACGCTGTCGCGCGGCTCACACCCAGGCACACGCCCACGCACTGTCACGGAGATACACACACCTGCAGGCGGAGACGCCAGAGCAATACACACTCACCGGCGGCTCTTCCTGATTCACACATACACAGTCCTGCAGGCAGAGACACGCAGAAATGCCCACACCGGGGCACACCCAGGCGTGAAGATTGTACAGGCACACAGACACGCCAGAGCACGTATGCACACCTAGACACCCAGGGGCTAAGCCAGACAAAAATTATAGAGGTTGAGTTGGAGCGAATGGGGACAAGACTGACAAATACATACTTAGGGGCACGGACACACACCAGGGGCACACATACCAACAACATACATTACTCTTTGTGCTCTAATATACGCACCTCACAGCTCAGGGAGCGCGCGCGCGCACAGACACACGCACACACCACACTACACACCAGAGGCATAGACACCCATAATCTCCAGGGACACAGTCCTCCACCAACCCACACACATTCAGAGGTTCGCACTCACACATATACAGCAGCTGTTGTCTGTGCCCTCCAGTGGTAGAGTGTGGCAGAGAGGTCGCTGGGGTCCCAAAAGCAGGCCTTGTTAGCCTAGCCACATAATGAGGTATTGGTGACAGGGAGTGCCTGGGGCTGTGGACCCTGCTCCCCTGCTTGACTGACTGCTAGCTTCCTTCCTTGGCTCCTAGGGTGGGTGGTGCACACGTTGGGCCACTCTGACAAACAACAGCCAATCCGCCAGTCCCAACCCCAGCACTCGGGGGGGAGTGGAGGGGGAGCAACAGAAGGACAGAGGGACTCCCAGGATGCCCCTCACAGCCTCGAGGGAGGCATGGAAAAGAGGGTCACTCTGTATTTCCCCTCATTTCCCGGTGCTGCCCAATCTTCCCATTGTAAGGGGCACTTTCTTCGCTGAGAGGAGTGGGCATTGGAAGAGTAGAGCTCGGGTTGTGTCCTGGACCCTGGTAACCCGGCCCCTCCTCCTGTTTTCCATTCAGTACGTTCCTTGGCCCAGACTTATGACCTTTGCTGTGTGTGGCAACATCATCCATCACCTAGGCGGCCGTTTGCGGGGTGAGGGGTGTGTGGGCCCACAGAGGGTCGCTGCGGCCTCTGCCTCCCTCCTATGAGTCCTATCTGCTGGCAGACCTGGGCTCAAGGCCGGGCAAGTACTGGGGGGAGGGTGTGATCATGGGGCTCGATCGCGATACTGGGCCTGTGTCCCCACCCCTGGCATCCCAAGCACCCTTCCTTTTCAGCTCGGCACAGCCGGCCTCCCTGCTCCTACCGCCCTCCCTCTCTCGGGCCCTTTGCTTAATTTCCTATTAACTGCTGATAAATCCAATTAAACCGCCGCTCTAATTAGGGACAGCTGCCGGCTCCATGAGGCGGGGGAGGGGGTGCCCCCCGAGTGTAGAGGGGGGGAGAACAGTCGCTCTCTCTGTTTCTCGGCACCCCCACACCAGCATCGCCACCCAATGAGTCAGTAAATTGGTTTTGCTTCAGGATTGTGGGGGGGGGCTCTCGAGGATTTCGGGGGATCTTGGTTTGAGTCGCTCATATCTCTTGATGAAGAGATAACGACCGGAGACCTAGACTCCCTGCACCCGGACCTCCGACTAACCCTCCACCCCCACGCCTATCTTGGTAGGCGTATCCCGAGGAGGGATGGGGGCAAAAGCCTTGATTTGTGTGTTGGTGGTGAAGGCGGGTGCCTGTGATCTGCTCTTATTCCAGCCAGAGTGTGATTACAGGGGGGGGGGGGGGCTGCCTGAGTCTCCCTTTATGACCCCGCTGTCTCCCCCAGGGGTCTGGGACAGTCAAGGGCAAAGGGACCAGGAAACTGAACCAGGTTCCGCACTGAGTTTTCCTATGTGCTTCCCTACCCCCACCACACCTCAGCCTTCTGGAAGGAAGCGGGGAGAGTCCGTCCCGGGCCCTTCTCTTCCCCAGCCCAGCTGAGCCTCTGCCCTCCCCCCGCCAGCAGCAGATGGTGCCCGGGCTCCCGCTGCCAACCTTGCTAGGCGGTGCCAACCTCAGTCCAAGAGGATCTCCTGACTGGCGGGGCTGACCCTCCCCCACCCGCCATCAAGCTCCAGACCCTCGGCCTGCCCTACTCCAGGGACCACCTCAGGCTGCCTCTCACTGGTCTGCTCCCAGGTCCCCAAACGCCTCGTATCCTTCAGCTCCCTTCCCCACACCTTCCCGCTCCCAGCCACCTGCCACCCTGACCGGGGCCGGCACATTTGCATATTTGCATATGCAAACAATAACATTTGCATGCGGCGCGCCACAGGGGGGGTCTCCGCGTGAGCCGCCTTGCTCTCTGCCCTGCGCCCTCTCACTCGGTACCTGTCGCAAAGGGCTGGGGCGGGGGCCGCGCGGGAGGGGTTAGGCCCCCCGGCCTCGCTCACTCGGTTCCCAGAGGACTTGAGGAAGTGTTGTCATGGAGACGGCACGCACCCCACCCCCTCCCAGGCCCAGGGTCTCCGGCACGGTGTCTCAGGTTCTCTCCTTCCGCCCCCCTTCCCCCGCCGAGTCCCTCGCGCTCCAACCAAGATCTTGCATCGCCCCCTGGCGGCCTAGCTCGGCACTGAGCCAGGTTCCGAAATGTAAGGGGGGGCTGCCCGCGGCTAACTCTCCTAGAGGTAGGGGGACCTACCCTGCAGCCAGATCTTTCTCCTAGCCGTCAGTACGCGGGGTTGGGTAACTCCAGTCCGGCTCCCCTTTCTTCACTGACAACAGAGGCCTCGCCTGGCGGACGCACCTATCTCCCCACCTACCACCAGCCTCAGCCCAGGTGAATGTCGGGTTACCGGATGATAGTGAGGGGAGACAGCTGGGGAGGATTCTCCAACGCTTCGTAGGTCCTCTCCTCCCTCTCCCCTCAACCCCCAGTTAAAGAACAAACTTTTCTAACTTTTTTCAAAACTTTAATACATTCGTAACATTCGACAGTTCGTCTCCCACACCCCCGGGGCGCCTCCTAGTGGAGACGCGTTCTTTTTCCAGCTCTCAACGGCTGGGCCGGAGGAGTTGCAGGTGAGGCCGCTCTGGGTACCAGGTATCCAAGGCCCTAGGCCGGGGGAGGGGGACGGGAACCAGTCCCTTCCCAGAAGGCCTGTCACGCTCTGGCAGGCCATCCCAACCCTCCCCCTTCCAGCATAGCTGCTTTCGCCCCTTTCCTCCCCAACCCCCACTGGGCCTGCCCAGAATGGGGCATGGGTATCTCTCGTCAGCAGGCGCCCGCACGCCTAAATCTCCTCCAGGAAGTCGGTGGGGAACAGCCCCACCTTGCGGCCGGTGGAGACCTTGACGTAGCCGCCGGCTTCATCTCCTTTCTGCACCACTATCTGAAGGATTAAAGGTTTAGAGAGGAGAGGAATCAAGGGAAACGGTAGAAGAGGAGAGCAGGGGAGCCCGGATTTTTGGAGGCCTATCCTAGCCCCACTAATAGGTTAAGATCCGCAAGGAGTGTGGTTTGCGGAGGAATCTTGGGGCCTGGGGTTGGATGGGGCACCAGAGCTACCTGGTCCTTCTTGAGAGTGATCTGCCCTATTTCGCGGTTTCCCACGAAGGATCTCGTTACGCGGTGCACACGCTCTCCAGACCGGACCCGAATGATGAAGTTTGGGGGGAAAAATCCAACCTTTTCCCCTATTTTCCCCTACAGGAGATGGGAGGGAGAATCAATGTCTCAATTTCAGATTCTAAACTCAACCCATGTCCCACTCTAGCCTCTGCCATTCCTCTTACCCGCCACCATTCCTCATTGGAGTCATCAATGACTGTGATCTTCTCTCCAGGCCTGGGAAAGGAAGGGACACACCTCTGGGAGGGAGCTTGCTCACTTATCCAGCTCCGGTCCAGCCCCAGCAGGCTCTAAACCCTGATACCCCTTTTCCTTTCCCATGAGGAGAGGGACTCTCCCCTCTCCACTCTCAGTACCCCTCCTTCTCCCTCCCACCCCTCCATTCCAGTCCTAAGGCCTCTCACGGGAAATCCAGATCGTCCTTCTCCAGGGCTTTGAACCGATAGAGAGCCACAAAGTAATGAGACTGCTGGAAGCCAGGCTGCTTGTGCTGGGGGTAAAAGGAGGTGATGAGTTTCTCTGGGCTCTTCGGTCCCACATTGAGGGGCAGGAGTCCAAGGCAGGGGCATTGTGCAGACACACTACATTCCAACTCTCTTCCAGGTCCTTGAACTGAGAGGACTGTGATGTGTGTGCGTGAGTGCGTGTGTGCGTGTGTGCGTGTGTGGTGACGGCAGGTTAAGGGTGATGGGACCCCAGGGAGTAAGTGTGAGGCTCTGTGGAGGCCGTGTGTGGTGTCAGACCTGGGGTGGGGAGAAGACTGGGGTTCCCGCAGGGAAAGTGGATTCTCACTTTGTCATCAGGTGTCTTCTTTTCAGTCTTCTTATCCCCTTCAAGGTTTCCTGGGATGGGAAACACCTAAATTGTCTCTAGCTCCTGGAGGGTAACCCTCATTCTTTTACCTTTCTGTTGCAGAACTTTTTATTTTTATTTTTATTTTTTTTAA